AAAGAAGTAACACTGAATATATACAATAAAATGTTTTTCTAATTACCGGTTTTAAGTAGCAAATGAATACAAAGTCGAAAGTAAACATGAAATATCTCATACAAGCGTCCGACTATTTACTGTGATTGCAAAATCAATTAACCTTCAATAAACGCCATACAATTTTGATGTCATATACTCGTATATCTTATTTAATCTTTTGACCATAAGATTATATGTTATTTCATATCAGAAAATTACGTTTGCTAAATACATATATATGTATATATATATATATTTACTACGCTATAATTGTATTATAAACTTCAAATAATGTCATTTATTTAGAGACCAAATTAAAAATATGAATTACAAATTTAAAAATTTAGATAAAAAGGAGAGATAAAAAGAATTCAACGGCGAAATATATTACATAGATAAAACGGTTGTAAAGATCGATATCTCTTCGATTCTTTTTGCCTAGTAATAAAAACCAAAAAAAAGAAAAAAGAAAAAGAAGAAAGAAAGAAATAAAAAAAAAGGAAAAAAAGAAAATAACGAAGAAAGAAAGAAAGAAAAAGAGGGAGAGAAAAAAAATCAAATGTCTATCTCCGGTCGCCCTCGCGCCACACACCCATAGACGCCCACGTACCCACATCTCGAGAGATCTTGCGCGTGTGTCAAAACGTGCTGCGTGAATAAACGCAGACAAATGCGTTCTCGTCCGGCGTGAGAATTTAGCGCACAATCGTACACGCACCACACCTCATTTTCCTACGCATTTTCCTTTTCCTCTCAAACGACGAAAGCTCGTGTTTATACATATATCTACATGTGTATGTATGTGTGTGTGTATATATATATATCATGTGTGTATGCCTATGTAAATAAATAGGTATATACATGTATAACATATATAGCTCATTGCAATCCATTTGCAATCGATATGCAGTATAATTATTATAAAATTTCTTATTGTTATACAAAGTCATCTCGTTAATTATTTTCCGTACAAAAATTCATAAGATTCTATTTAGAATTATGTAAAAAATAAAAATAAAAAATAAAAAAATAAAGAATAAATAACCTTGTCTATCAACGTTACTCTACATACATACTTTTATTTTTATATCTATATGTACATGTATATTTAGGTAAGTACTTACTAGAAATTATTCGAAAAGAAGATAAAGAAATTTGTAAATTTCCAAATATCGAAGATAATGCAGTGAAATCTATTATTTTATAGTTTATCTAATTTATCTTCTTTCATTTAAAAACTATATATATATATATATATATATATATATATATCCCTGATATATCTGTATTCATGAAAACGTTGAACTTTCTTAATTTAAAATGACAATAGAAAATGTACATTTTCGAAATTAACAATCCTTTCATGAAATTGAAAGATCTTGTAAAAAGAATCCGTAAAATTTGTTTAAAATTTTAAAGTTACCTATATATACATATATATATATTTATTTATTTATTTATTTATCTGCAAAATTATTTTAAAAAATTATTGTCATCTAAAAGAATTAAGAAATAATTGAATCGATACATTTAATTCGATTTATTACACTATATGTAATCTAATGGTACGATAAAATCTCGATTAATGATAAGCCAATCGAAAGTTTGGCGAACTCTCGTAATCGAAAACTCGGAAGCTCTATTACTTCGGACGTTTCCCGCGTCAAGTCCGAAGCAACATCAAGATCGCGTAATATCTTACGCAACGGAATTTCCTCCATGACAAGCGAGTAGAGCTCGCTTGCTCGCGTGAGTTTACGTTCGAAACGGTAACGTTGCTCTCGGCACGGCCCAAAGGTCATGATCAAGCGCGCTTTTTCTCTCGATGGAGTCACCAAGGTCAGCATCTGTCGCAGCCTCACTTCAAGAAGACATCGACTTTTTAATATGCAATTTATTGACCTTTCGACAATACCAAATTTCAATTTGTACGAGATAATCGTCTTGAGAAAAAAATTTTTCTTTTATATATTATATTTAATTATTTGTAACAATCTGAGGAAACGAATGGACAATGATTTTTTGAAATTATCAAATCGAAATAAATTGGAAAATTCAACGATAAAAGATCCAATGTTGTACAAACTGTTGGCTAACGTTTGGCTCGAGGGTTAACGAACAGCGGAGAACGGAAAGCGAAGAAAGATATTCGAAACGAGTCGTATTCGCATGCGTGTTCGGTACAAAGTAAGAAGGTTAGGTTAGATTCGACAGCTGTTCTGTTTCTCAGAACCCTGACCTTACATCTCCTTCGTACGACCTACGCGAAATTCAATTCAATTTAATTCTTTAGGTAAGAGTAAGAGAGAAAGAGAGCAAATAAATTGTTGGTGGAGTTTACATATATATTACGTATACAGTTAATTTATCGAGATTTATCATCTTATTTTTGTTAAGTAGATAAAAAATATCTACCCAGATAATATCCATACCTATAAATAATAAATAACCATTGTACAAAGAGAATATCGATATATATTATTATCGCGACAATTACAGCTAGCATGCTTATGTGTATGTAACAAAATTCGAACAGTGGAAAGAAAAGAAAAAAGAAAAAGAAAGAAGAAAATTTTCTCGTCGTATTATCAATGGCATTTATTCCAATGCAAATTGAATAATACACATAATGATAAAACTCGTAAGAAGTTATATATCCATTGCAGAGCACATGTTTATATTTATATGTGATAGGAAAAAAAAAAAAAATACAGAAAAAAATTTGCGTGTACAAAATACGAAGGAATAATGTACAGACAGGCCATTTGCAGATTATATTCAACCGTACAAAAATTATTTACACGACATTATGTCATTAAAGTTATAACGTACCAGCAGGTGCTACGAAATTGTAATCGGCGAAACAGCTGCGAATGAACTCGACGTAAATCGATCCAACAAAATTTTCCGATAATTTCATTGATAATATATAGAATGGAATATACGATCATTTAAATCTTCCTGATTAATGAAAAACATGTATATAAGATAAATTTCATAATGAAAATTATTAATGATGATTAATCATGGTTTATAACGAAAGTAAATATATGACAGTAATATAAATCGCGATAAAGTTATAAAGTTTTATCGTGATAACGTTGCACTATCGAACGAGCAAAGTACGAATAGAAATATAAATCAACAGGTCTCTCTCTCTCTCTCTCTCTCTCTCTCTCTCTCTCTCTTTCTTTCTCTTTCTCTTTCTCTTTTTCTCTTGCTCTTTCATTCAGAAAAACGAAATAAATATAAAAGGAAAAACATATTTAACAGAAATTCATAAAGAAGTAAATATATTTATGTAATACGATTTTTTTTAATAGAACGAATTATCCATATTAATCACGAGACATTCACTGTTGATTCGATTGATATATGTACGTACGATATGTACGTAATTGCTTTAAAACGTAATATATGTTTTTTACTCCGTTTGAGTTAAATATTAATTTTTCTTTGTTTCTTTTTTTAGCAAAAACTGGCCTGGCAACGTAATTTTTATGATTACGATCTTTATATGATTAAAATTATACGACGTTAAAATTCTCATTAATATTTTTTATAAGTAAACGAGTTAAATAGTACTTTTTGATATCTGAGTTCTTATCAAAATATAAAAAAATATTTTTCGAATGTACTAAAATAAACGGTCTATCGATAGTTGCGTTACATGATTAAAATAAATCTCATGTAACATAAATCTCATTATAATCAATAATAATCGATTACCCGAAAATCCATAAAATAAGATTAGTATAAACTAATTAGTTATCTCTATAATGATCTTTTCTTCAACTAGATCGAAAGTTTATCGAATTGATTTTGATTTATCTACGCAATTAGAAAAAGTATAGATATCAATAAAACATTTAAATTTGTAATCTACGAAACAACTAACAAAAAGATATTTGTCTTAAAATAAAAAAATCTTATTATCCCCGTTACAATTAAAAATATCGTAAAATTATGAATTAGAAAATTAAAATATTTGCTTACTCTTCGTAAATCTTTGCAAAAGCCGTCACAGATGGTTTTACAGAATGATGTAAAATTTTGAGATAACTCTAATATCACGATATACGATCTTATTTACTCGGCCATAAAAGAAAATATAAATAAATCGATTGATTTTTATTTGCCATATTTGTAATAACGTTAATTACGGCTAAAAATAAATTAAAATAAAAATATATGCTATGAACAAACACTGCCTTTAAAGGACGCCTTATACGTAAAGCTGTAAATAATATCGTTGAAACTGATTAACTAAAAATAATATTCATGAAACTAAAAATAAAACAAATTATATAGAGAAAATTTCTTGAAATAAATATATCTAAAAAAAAAAAAACAATTAATTTTTAACAAATAAAAAATCAACGGATACAATTGTGAAAAGTAAAATTATTAAAAATTAAATATTTTTCAAGCATAGTCTTCATGGAATTGAGTAAACTAACTCGACAATATTTACATATGTTATATAATTTAATATAACGTAAACAATATTGATCGCCAGGATCTTACTATAGGCAGATATATATATATCTAGAGAAAGCCAGTGTACACGCGCACACACAAACACACATGTTAAGTTAAAATATGTGAAAGTATATGAAAAGTTAAAAATAAATATACAAAATATTAATTATCAGCAGATAGTTAACGTTTACTGCGAAACGTAATTATTAATACACTTTGTTATAATAAAATTACTATAGTATTTAATTAATTACGAATTAAATAATACTGATTAATATTGATTAAATGTATTAGAATAAGAGAACGAAGAGTTTACCGATAATGTTATCTGTAGGAAGTATCGTATAAGAATGAATAAAGAGAGTTCTTGACTTTAAGCGAAGGTGAACATTCGATAATGTTTTATTTAGGTTTAGGCATGATAATAAATATTGTTTACTATGTATCTCTCTGTATTACCCTTCGTTCTTGAAGTTTTTAAAAATAAACAAACTTACCTGGATGTATTATATAGAACAGCTACTAATAAAAAAGTTTTCGTACTCGACCTTTGGTTTTGCCATTTCTTAACACACGTATGACGAAAGCTGTAAAATATTGGATAAATATTAAATTGTTAGGAGTATACAATTCAATTATAATAATATTAAATTATATTATGATATATATATACACACATACACATATATATATTTATTTATTAAGTGTATATAGTGTATTAATGTGTACATTATGTACTATATATAGAAGTGTGTGTAAATTTTTATATTATATGTATTCATGTATGAATCTATATACTATATATATATATATATATATATATACTATATATTTATATATATATATATATATATATATATATATTCGTATAAATACGAAAATCAAATATCATATAAAACTCAATCAACCATAATTAATTACTCATGAATTATTAACTTTAACATCGTTAAAATGCAAAAAAAGAAAGTAAATGTGTACTAATATCATAAAAATAAGTAAGAATTATACGATATTACGTAATACTCCTCGATGTAAATGACAATTTTATTTTTAGAAATATTTTTTTATTTTCTAAAATACTTTTTAAACGCGATATTTCTTATAAGTATAATCCCTCGAAAATAACTTATTCCGTCATTGATTAGTATATTTTAGAATGATATACGTTAAAAAAATTATACTAAATTACCTGTTATTACGACGTAGACGTAGATCCTTTTGCAACTTGGTAATAGTTTCCGATCAAATATAATTTCTTCAGTGCCCGACAAAGTACCTAAACAAAAGAACATTTCATTTTAATTTCCTTCTATCTGCAATAGTTCGCTTATACGTAATTACGTTTTCTAAATTTAAAATGGAAGATTCGATTTTTTAGATTTAAAATAACAATAAAACTTTGTATAAATAATATTTTATTAATATACGTAAAATAAAAGAGACATTATATATGGATATATATATATATATATATATATATATATATATAAAATTAGAAAATATAATGAAAATAATCGGTTCATGTAATTCAGATAAATTTTAAATGAACAAAGAAATATAGGTATTGTTTTAATAATTAAATTCATTGAATTAAATATCATTCTTTTTATCTAATTTTATCATTTTTGATTAAAATATAAAATTAAAGAAACTTTGTATTCTTCGACGTGGTCTTTTACAAATATCTTTTTAATGTAATTTTTACAACATATTATTCAAAACTTATAATCTTTGTTATACACATACACTAACACTCGCACATAATCTATATCTATATTTGTGGTATAATAATAAAATATATTTAATTTTAGTAAAAAAAAAAAAATTACAAATATTATTTCAAAGAGTACTTAATTAATTTCATTAAAAAAAAAGTAAAATAATTCCAATAATCAAAAAAAATACGCGCCTGAACGTAATCGTTACTTTATTTTCTTTTATTTTATTTTTTTCCCCGCCACTATAAACGGTCTCAGTTGTTATCGTAGGTCGGCGACGCGCAAAAATAGCCATTTGAAAAACGAACACTTTTAAAAAGAACGAGACGGAAAACTAAGAGTGGGTGGTCCTAACATTATACATTACCGCGCAAAAACATATTCTTTATATTTTTTCGTCATCCTACATCTTCCCTTAAAGAACTACATCATGACGTAACAACGAACGATTATATTGCGATAACGAATAAAACGAAGAGAAATAAAAAATAAAAAGAAAAAAAATTAAATGAGCAAACAAATAAATAAATAAATAAACCATCATTTTTACAAAATCTCTCATTAAACGATAAGTAAGAAGCCCAGATTCCAATATCTTGAAATAAGAATAGAAATAGAAATGCTATGTCTCGATTGATTCGATCAATATCGATGGTGAATTTTTTTGCACTTAATTAACTGATAACGCCTTAAAAAGGAGAATAAAATAATTTGATCACTTCGAGGAGGGTATATATAAAATAAATAAATAAATAAATCAATCAATCAATTTACATGAGCATTATAGAAGCGATACGATGGAAACGAACGTTAAACGAACTTTTTCAATGAACGATTAAAACGATTAAAATTATCTTCGTATCGTAATATCGATCTCTCCTTTATTTATTGTTAATTCTCATTTTGCATAGATCATAATATATAAGTAAGTGAATAGACGTAATGCGAAGAAAAAAGAATCTGCAAATGTGAAAAAATGATAATACGAAATAATGAATACAAAGGAGTGAAATAAGTATAGCGGATGAAGAAGAGACAATGCGAAACGTAGAAAACAAAGAAAGAGCGCGGAAGAAGCATCATCACGTAATCAAGATATGCGTAAGCACATATCTAACCAGTCAACGACAGCATGGGTGAACGCGCGCGCGTGCTCATATACACGAGTCTTCGTGGCGCGTGTAAAACACGCTCGGATTGAGGCAGTGTCGTCTCTTTTTCCATATAAATGACAACGTTCTACGTTCGATGCACCAAACAAGCCAGCAACCAACCAACCAACTACTCAACCAACCAACCAACCAGCGAAGCAACCAACTACGACGACACAACTGCTCTGACAGCAGCACATGCGCGAAAACGTGACTTTCAAAGGCAAAACGTTGTCGATGACGTCGTTTTAAATGACGAAGAGGAAGAAGAGAAGAAAGAGATTCTATACTTGGTACGTATTTTTACGTATAATATTACAAACAATTACGAACGTCATTAAAAAAGAAATCAGATAACTGAAATGAGATAGTAGCGAATAAATACCATCTCAGTCTAATCTCCTTATTTCTGTGATATTTTTTCGATCGAAAAATAAATATAAAAATAAATCGAAACTATTCGATTAGAACGTATATCTATAGTTACGAATTAAAATTGTTATATGTTTTGTATTTATATAGATACAAATTTAGTACCACGTGTATATATATATATATATATATATATATATATATATAATATATATATATATTATATATATATATATAATATATATTATATATATATAATATATATATATAATATATATATATATATATACGTATATATAAAATGTTATATATGTATGTATAAAAGGTTTCTATATTTTACCGAATCATATAACTTATTTATATAGATTTATACATGCATACCTATACACAAATAGAAAAAACAATACATGAAGCAAATAATAAATATATTTACGTGTACATGCCAAAACACACGTACGTATATGTGTGTATATATATAATGTATATGTATGTATATATATATATATATATATACATATACATATATATATATATATATATATATATATATATACATATACATATATATATATATATATATATATATATACATATACATATATATATATATATATATATATATATATACCCAGAAACATTTATTTACGTGCGAACGGTTTGGCTCACATCCATCGTCTACGATAGAAGTGCGAAAAACAGATAGACAGCTGCTATCGTCTCTATTAGAAGACACCCTCTCATTTCATTCCCACGAAAGATGATCGCAGAAGGCAACCGCGATTTTTCTATAATAGAACGAAGGGAGGACCGGTGGTTTCTTTGATCCTTTGACTTCCGCGGACTTAGCCTATGACGACCTATGTAGTATGATATTCGTGATTTAGGCCCGGAGCTAAACGCGAGGCCATCGACCCTCTTCTTTTTTCTTTTTTATCTCCTCCTTTTTTTTTTCTTTCTTTCTTTTATTTCTTCTTTTCTACCTGTTTCTACGTTTTACTTTGTTAGCCGCTCGCAAGCTGTTTTCTTAGAACAAAGAAACGATCTAACGACCGATCGATATATAATCATTTACACATTCATATTTCTTTACATAGATATTTTTATTGTCTTAAATAATTTAAATAAAATGAAGTTATATAACGAAGGCTAAGAATTAACAATCCTTTTTTTAAATCATTTGCTTCAATATACTTTTGTTAATTAAACCAATGGATATTTTATTATAATGAAAAACAAAGTATTTTGAAATATAGATAAATCCAGGTATTCTCTGTAAAATCGTTAATTAAAAAATATAATATTATGGTATATTCAAATTATTAAAATTTTCCAAGGGAGAGAAATAGAGATACAAATACAAAGAAACAGACAGAAAGATAGAGAGAAAGAGAGAGAAAGAGAGATCGACTCAAATTCAATTCATTAAACTAAATATACTTTTTAATTTTCTTTTTTAATTGATCCTAAATTACCTAACAAGCACCAAAAATGATTATGAACGATAAGTACGAAGAAGAATAAGAAAATAAAAGAGAAACTGCTAAAGAACGAAAAAAAAGAAAAAGAAGAAAAAAGTGAAAATGACGAAGGTATCGATTTTCAGTGACAGGGTATAAGAATAATTTAAAACGGTAGGTGGAAGCACAAAGTCGACGCATATGGCTTAGGTCGTTGACCTGCAAGAACATACAGCAAGGTAGGCAAACAAGCGAGGACAGGGAGAGACTCCTCTCCTCCGACCCCTGCAACCCAGCCCGAAAGAAGAAGCGTTTCCTCATTGGTTCTCACCTGCACCAAATTCCTAGCTGGCCAACCTCGGTCATTGACCCTTCTTAGAAGAGCACGCGGAAGACCGCGATCGTTGCGCTCGTGCGTCTAAAGACCCACCTCATAGCGATGTCCATCGCCATCGTTCTCTTCTTTCCAGGTAGTTCTCAAAATCGATCCCTTCTTTAAAAAAAATCGCTAAGCCCTTTGCCAAAAAGAAAAGAAAAGAAAAAAAAAAGACGGAAAAAAAGAAAGAAAGAAAGGATAGGAAAGAAGAAAAAAGAAAGAGAAACGAAAAAGTTCAAATTCCAAGTAATCCGACGACGAGTAGATCTTGTGAAAAATAATAATAAAACTCACCAAGATGTCTAACGTAACGTGTATGTTATTATTTAGTCTTCCTCGAAGTTTCTCCGTGATAAATTTAACAATTATCGTATTTACGATTAATCATGAGCCTATAGAAAATTCTCATTATCAACATCGCAAAGATTGTCTACATAATCGTAAATTAATATAATCGTAAATTGCTTCGTCCGTTTTTTTCTATCTTTTTCTTTTCTTTTCTTTTATTTTATTTTAATTTTTTATTATTATTCATTAGTTCGGCCATTAATTCTCGAAGAAGAAAATTTTTTCAACCGATCAATTCTCATCTACTTAAAGAAAAAAAAAAAAAAAAAAAAAGAAAAAAAAAGTAAAAAGAAAATAAATAAAAAGAAGAGGAAGAAGAAATAAAAACAAAATAAAAAAAGTAAAAAAAAAAAAAAAAAAAAAAAAAAAGAAAAAATAAAAGGATAACATAGTCAAGAGGACACGTCTTGGTAACACGTGCCGAAATTTTCTAGTCGGTTTAGTCGATAAAATAAGTATCATCGATGACGATAGAAAAAGAAAATAAATTATCGTTCGCGTTGGTAGTTAATAATAAAATCGTCGGAGAATCGTATAGTCCTTGAATCGGCCGTTCAGCTACGATTCGTCCGGGTCTGCACGTGGAGCGATACCGGCTTTCAGAGGTCACGGGTAACGACTCGACCCGAGAGAGCAGAGCTCGTCTTCCCTATCGTTTGCTCTATCTGTGCAACGAGTTTCTCGACACGGCACACACAATATTAGAGATCTCTATTTAAACGTCTTCGTAATAATTCTATTTCATTATTTTCATTTTGATTACATCTAATTAATACATAATAATATCTCTAATAGTATCATTCGACTTATTGCGAATATATCTTTGCACATTTCTAAATCAATTATGAAATCAAATAAATACCATTGGGAACTAATTCAAATGCTTAACGTTAATCGATGGTATCATTAAAATGTCCTCACGACATATACAGATCGTACTCGATGATAGTTGATAGATAGTAAATGACCGTTATCGTATCGTAAAATTGTACATATTATCATGTTAGAAGTGACAAACGATCAATCCATTAAATTTTCTTCAGGCACAACAATCATATTTCCTTTTTTTTTTAATTTCATTCAAAAGTCAAATCTCTTCGTATCCTACCATCCGTCCGGATATTCCTTTTTTTTTCTTTCTTTCTTTCGTTAGAAAAACAAACTGTCGATAAACACTTTCGTTAGTTAACAAAATGATTAGTTTAGACTATTATCTTGGCACATTAAATATCGAAAAATTCCTTGAATCTATTTTCGATTGAGACGATTAAGAATCGGTCGTCGACGCGTTATCAATTATGTGATCTCTGAAAAAAGTGATTAAAACCAAACGATGAGAACCAATGATTGAATAAATGAGTAAGAAAAAGCGAGAACGAGAGAAAAAAGAAAGAGAGAGAGAGAGAGAGAGAGAATTATCGTTGTAAGTACCGTAGAAGTCGTGGAAATTCTCAAGGAAAATTATCAGGAATACCCCGGATGAATCGTACTTGTTGATGTCACGCAAACAAACTATTGTTGCATAATTAGTTACAATGGACCTCGGCGAAGGTCGCGGACGAGTTACGCTCTAAGGAAATCCCACGAGTTTGAGAAAGTAGCTACGAATTTGTGTTACATGTAGTTACGATAATCATAAATAAGCTTCGAAATTTTGTTCATCTATTATTAAACGTAACGACAATCCTCACACAGTTTTACACGGTACTTTCTAATCTAACTCTAATGTTTTATTCTATTTTCTTTTTTTTTCTTTTTATCTTTATCTGTTTTTTATTTCTTTTTATTTATCTATCTATTTTTTTTTTCTTAAAGGAAAGTTGACCCGAATTCAACTTACAGTTCATTTACCCGACGTAAGCTTTATTAAAACGAAAGTTTGGCGAAAATTAACAAAATTCGATTCAACGTGTAAAATTCGCTTTTTATTTCTTTTTTTCTTTTTTTTTTTTTCTTTTTTATTATCGAAATAAATATTATCAACTGGATAGACCATTTTTATTTATAATTATTAATATAATACTAACGAATGATATTTTAAATGTCTTAGATAAATAAATATCGTTAAGAGATATTTAAAATAGAAGAGATAAGATTAGAAATCGTGGTATATAGTGAGATACCAAAGACATTAAGAGAAATAAACGACTCTTCTTCGATAGTAGTACGAAAAAGGTTGCTGTGCGACGAAGAAAAACGACCAAATACGAAATGAGGAGTTACACCTTTGGAGTGCCGACCATTCCTACGAGAGGAAAGTTGTTTTCGCCAAAAAAGAATATCAGAGGAGAAGAATCTGAGAATCCGATGTAATTTACGTAATCAGCCCATTGCCGGCTAGATACCGGTAATACTGGCATCGAACACGGTGAGAAGAATAATACCGAATACGAGAATCGAAATGCCACATCCTGAGTTAACATGCATGCATACAGACCAACCACGGGAAATCGATAAACCGGTCACGTATACAAATGAACTTAGATATCTATAATACTGGCTCTATTTTAATTAATGCTCATAAGAATATTATTATAGTTATTATATATAGAAGAAAATATGTTCTATAGAAACGTAAAAACATCAGTGTAACATATATTTAATTTATAATTACTTACTTACCTACATATATCATATTTTAAAAGATAATTTCTTGGAAAAAAATGTTCCAATTTTTACTCCTTGATAACTTAGATTGTATTGATTAATTATAATAAAAAAAAAAAAAATATATATATATATGTGTGTGTGTGTGTGTGTGTGTGTGTGAGTACGCATTAGTTAGATATGTATTGATAAATATTAATGACAACATGTTTTCTTTCTCGACTTATTGCAAGCTTAAATATATAACAATATTTATATAATTATATGATAATAATTTTTTAATGATAAAAAATTATGATCGATTATAATCAATCGTTGAATGCTTAATCAAAAATAAATTTTTGTTAAATAAGTGTAATTTAAAGGCAATATAAATATCACAGTTGTGCAATTGCTGTTGATTCAACAAAACGCTTTGCTTAACTACTCGATATCCAAAACAACCTTGACCTATAAACAGAAAGTCATTGCTAACAATACTACTGAAATTTTGGTATTTTGTTTCTTTCAAAAGTATGGTTAAACTATTCTGGAAAATTCAAGATAGAATAAAAATGAACAAACAATCGATCTATAAATCTTCTGAAGTTTAAACGATTAATATCAATAACATACTTTAGTTAATTTAAGATCGATTGAAGAAAATCTATCTTCTATCTATCTATCTTACAGTAACAACTAAATCTATCTATCTATCTATCTTACAATATTCCATTTAGAAAGAGAAAAATATAATTGTACGATACCAAATTTTCTATACATACATTTTTCGAGAATTATTCTGAAAAGTATAATTATCATTTCGTATTTTATTGTTAATAACTATCATACGCAATAAAAAAAAAAAAATAAAATAAAATAAATTGAAAACAACGTGTCGCTCGTTGGCTTGTGATCATTCCAAAGCTTGATCCACAACTTTCGCATATTACAAGATAAGATCTTTATATTTCAAATACATTCACATGAATATTTTTAATACATCAACATATCGTTTCTCTTTTTCTTTTTTAAAAAATATATGTAGTAAAATAAAATTGTTGAAAATGTAATCTTCTCCTACCAGCTTAAAATAACTATTAGGTTATTATTGACTCTACCGGTATGTACCTATATACAAAGAGGAAATTTCAAGATTAGAAGATAAGACTAATTTTAGCAACGATTAGAGAGATTATAAAGCGACTCGTTTCAACTAACCTTTAATGAACGACAAGATTATTCGTGATTTTTCTGTTGCGTACCGACCGCAATCGAAAGTCTATTTGATACGATTTGAAACTTTAATACATTTATATTAAATCGCTCCAATGATTTCCATTTTGATTAACATTTGAAAATAATTTGAATTATTCAAAAGTCTTAAGTATTTCACTAATGATTTAAAATGGGCATTAAAGAAGGCTTAGCTAAATACGCTTCTCTAAGAAGTCGAAAGTAGGTCTCATCGTCGTCGTTGTCGTCGTCGTCAACGTCGTCAACTTTGTCAACGTCGTCAACGTCGTCAACGTCGTATTCATTGGACTGAGAAAGCATCGAAGGACGAGAAAATGGGTGCTTCCTTAATTTCGTGAATTCAATAAATTTCAATATGATTTTGGTTTGCCGACTTGGCACGTGTCCCGTTATTGAGAATCACTGGGCCGACGAGGCTTCCTAAACAATGCTCGACTCACTTTCACTTCGTCCCCACTGTTCCTACACGACTACCACGGCCGTCGACGTCTTCGTCACCATCATCGTCGTTATCGTTGTCGTTGTCGTTGTCGTCGTCGTAGTTGACGGCGACGTTCTCATCATCGTTGTCGTTAAATGTGAATTGTAACAAACATCGAATAACAATTAACTCACATTACATCTCTCAGAACACATATTTCTATTATTTTTCCTTCCATCGATAAGATATAATCTTATCCACACATATAATTTTGTTAATCATCTAATCGTACGTTATTGAAGATGAGTGTGAAAGAAAATTACATGCCTTTACGAGGTCCGTCGTGAGTAGACGATCACATTAAGAGACACAGAGGGAAGTCATTCTAACCTGTTTAGTTAAACTCGATCGAAGTTTTGCAAGTAACGAACAATAACTTAATATCAATATCATTAACCTTAATAAATATTCATATGTCATTGAATACAATAAACTGTGGACGGATGTCAATGATTTAATATTACAAATGTATTTCCTTTATTATCTCTTATTTTTTTCTTTTCGTTTCTTTCAATTTTTTATTTCTTTCTTTTTTCTTTTTACTTTTTTCTTTTTTTTTTTTCCTTAACTTCCCTTTGATCGTCTGGTTCATAAAACGACATGATCGACCTATATTTCGCAAGAGAAGGAAACTAAATCAGACGAGGAGGGGGAGAAGTGGTAATGGAAGGGAGGGGGAGAGAAGGAGGAAGAAGAAGAAGAAGAAGAAGAAGAAGAAGAAGAAGAATTTGCATGAATTCTCATAGGAGTTCGATACAATGCGATTATAGAAATATCTGGAACCATTTCGTAAGTCGAACGGCGGATCCACAGTTCATTGTTGTTGCGCGCGAACCTTCGTCGGGCGTCGATTGGTGCACGGCTTGAATTGAGCCTGGGAAGATTGCAAAAACGGAATTCTTATATTCGTACAACAATGGGACGGATGACCGTCGAATCCGCTCTAGATTTCAGAAACAATTCTATCCATGTTTCACAAATACACATTGTCGTTACATTATATGTAACTATGACAACTACTTTTTTTCCACGGATGTCTTCTTGATAATTACCATTAATATTAATTAGTAATTATCACTAATATTAATTATTCTTATGATCAACATAATTATAAACTATCAAATTTCTTTTTCAATAGCTAAACAAACTTAAAAAAAAAAAAAGAAAAAAAAAAGAGAATTGATTTTTTTAATGAAATCTTCAAATATGTTTATTCTCACGTTATCTGTCTCTATCTATCTCATGTTTCTAAACTATCTTTATTACAATTATTACTGTAATAACATATGTATCTTTATTATCATCCATCTTATCTCACGTTTCTCTATAACATATCTTTATTACAATAATTAAACAGACTCAACGCAGACGATATGATAGAAATTCTAAAATTTTAGATTTTTTTTTTCTTTTTTTTGTCAAGAAACATAGAATATGTTTTACAATTATTATCAAAATGATTAATTATTCCTTTACACATTCCTTATCAATAAAACTTAATTTTTCCTTCAAAAGAAAGCAACAAAGTATATCTATAAATCATTGAAAATCTTTTCCTCGATCTTTAACCCTTCCTTTTTCTTTCATTCGGTCTACCACAATATCGAAGGTGTTTTGTCCCGTTTATTGTGGCAGAATGGTGTCAGTTACATAAGGTCTCCTGCCGTGCCCAGAAGTATCAAGGATTGGTAGAGAAAGATGGAAAAAGTGAGAGAGAGAGAGAGAGAGAGATAGATAGAGAGAGAGAGAGAGAGAGAGAGGGATAGAGAGACAGAGAAAGACAGAAAGAGAGGCTGTTGCTTACAGCTTGACGACCGGATAAGAAGAAACAGAAGAAGGAGAAAAAGCAGAAGAAGCAAAAGAAAAAGAAGAGGAAAAAGAAAAAAAGAAAAAAGAAGGAACAGTGTTGGTATCTCTCTCGGTGTGGGCTCGAGAAAGGAAAAGAAAAAAGAAAGGACCAGTGAAGAAGGGATAGTAGAGGGGAGGAAGGAATCTCGTGGCGAAGAAGCTGGAGGGAAAGACATGAATGTGATTCGAGAAAAAAGGAGAAAGATAAAAGGAGATAGACGAACAAAAAAAGAAACGAAACGAAACGAAACGGAATAGAACAAAACGAAACGACACAAATGAAATAGAAGAAGTAAAAGAAAAGAAAAGAAAAGAAGAAAAGAGAGAGAAAAAGAGAAAAAGAGAAAGAGAGAGAGAGAGAGAGAGAAAGAGAAAGATCGCGTCTACCTATACGAGAGGCACGAATGGAAGTAAGGAAGGAAAGGAGGTAGGGCCAACGAACACGGAGATAGGACGAAAATTGACCAATGACGAGCCGGTACCGCCATGGTTCTTTTTACAAAGCACGATAAGGGGAGCGAGGAGGTGAGAAAAGTGAAAGTTCGTTCTAAGCCGGCAGAGCTAATATCTCCCTACCTTCCGCCTATCCCTTCCACAATTATCGTCCTATCCCTTTCTCTCTTTCTTTTTCTTTCTCTTTTTTATTCTACGCCGATCCCCTCTGTTTCCTACCACTCCCCCTTTACTCTTCAACACCTATATTCGTCATCCTGACGAGTAGAGTTCCGTACGGCATCAAAATTTTTTTCCTTCACGTCACTATCTCCTCGATTATTTTTCTTTTTTTTTTCTTTTTCTTCTTTTTTTTTTTTTTTTTTCTTTTTTTCCCTAATCGACATCTTAAATAAATCTTTTCGAGAAAATTCCTAAGATATGAATAGATGATATACGACATAACTTGTACGACATAAAGTGTTTTTATGGAATTTGATTTGTCACGTTTGCCATCTCTTTCTTTCTCTTTTTTATCCTTTCTTTCTTTTTCTTCTTTCTTTTTTTTCTTTTTTTTTGTCTTCTTCTTCTTCTTCTTTTTCAACTTGCACTTCGTGCATTTGTAAAAACAAAGCTAAATAATAATAAAAGAAAAGAAAGAAAAAGGAAGAAAAAGGAAAAATAAAAAGAAGAAAGAAAGAAAAAGGAACATCATCGAATTTCCGCGATTAATATCTATCCCCGGAATAGATGCTGCACGGTATATCGGCCGTCAAGGCGATACGTGTAAACTATTTGTTCCTATCTAAAGCAACTCGTCGAAGTTTATTGGTGGGGTTGCTTAGGTGAAGCGAGCGAACGAGCAAGCAAGTAAGCAAGCAAGCAAGCAAGCAAGCAAGCAAGCAAGCAAGCAGGCGGCCAGGCACTCCGGCGCCCTCGATTTCACTTTCATTACGAGGCCAGAGAGCGCTTCGCTTTACGCT